GCGTTATCCATAGCTTCCAAAACCCAGGAAAAAAGATTTAAACTGCTCACCAGATGGTATAGATGTCGAACACTTCTCCACTGTTTTGATAATTCCATCTCCGAGGTTTGCTGGCGTTGTCAATGCACATGGGGTATTATACTTTATATTTCCATACTTCATATCTCCTAGATTGTAAGCTCCAAGGAGCAGGGCCCTCGAACCCCTTGTGTATCGCATTGTATTGCTACTGTACTGTCGCATGTACTGTCTCCCATTATAATGTACAGCGCTGAGCAAACTGTTGGCGCTATATAAATATTGTATAATAATAATAATATTTGGTGGTCTTGTCTGCCTATCCAGAAATTTTGGCAATCTATATTTGACCGGTATAATAAACTGATGACAACATTGGTCACTCATCCATCCCCAAACCTGGCACTTCTCTCCCTACAGCCTGGATCTATTAAGTCAGTGAAACGGGATATCTTAAGACACCTGGTGGCTGCTGCCTGGGCAGTTATCCCACGCCATTGGATGTCCACTTCTGTGCCTTCCTTGGGAGTATGGGTTAGTGAGTTGGACTCTATCCATGACCTTGACTGACTGTTGGGGCAGGAATCAAAGAAAACAGATCTGTTCTCCTTTATCAGGACCCCTTGGACCTTGTTCCGCTATTCCTACGAATTCCACCCTTGGGTTGTCCGTGGAGTGGACCCACCCCTGAGGTAGACATGGTGGGTGAGTATACCTTCCCCCATTCCTCTCATTCTTCCCTGCTGTTTTTCATCAGTCCCTTTTCTTCTTCTCTTATTTTTATTTCCTCGTCTTTTCCTTTTTTTCCCCCCTTATATTTTTTTTCTTTTTTTGTAATATATAATTTTCCAGACAAACATTTTCTTTTATTTCCTATTGTTATTGGATACATTCTGAGATGTGTTCCCACACCAGACAACTCTGGTTTCCTAAGCTATAGAGCTTGGGGCTGCAATCTTGTTAACACTATGGCTACTTCTCCGTTTGAATATTACACATTGTTCTTCTTTTACGCCAACCTGCCTCATTGTAGTATTATACTAATTTCCATGATTATTGATACATGCGGATTGGTGCCTTCCACTAAATCCTATACATTTTCTCTTACTTTACGTATCCTTTTTGTTATTATCTGTATCCTTGAAAACTCAATAAACTTAGATTGAAAAGAAAAAGTATAGAAAATTAGGATCTTAATTGTGTTCTGCTTACATTTACAATTCAATTGTTACTGTTTTTAAAATGTAAGGTATGCTTTACAAGACAAAAACTAATAGCCTGTCTTCTTCAGTAACCTTTCTATACAATTTGCTCTATTCAGCCCATCATATTGTGATTTGATATAGCATAATACTAAAAACCAAAAAGCATTAGAGTCAGGCATTAAACATTACGCGGAAGAAGAGAAGATGCAGAGGCACTTCAATTTAAACCCATAGGGTTAATTTAATGAATGCAACTTTTGTACCGAATATTTATAAACAAAGATGATCAAATGTCATAAAATCTGCTTTGTTGACATTGTTTTATGTCATTCCCACAATGTGGTTGAAATACTAAAGGCAAAAGGGCTGTTTACGTTGCAAGGGAATTATCCATGGAGCTTAATAAATGTGGTGAAACTCTGCTGACTTCTATCTTCCAATCACATGCAAGCAACAATACTTTTTTATTTTCCTTGTACATGATTGAGTGTTCTTTGTAAAGGGAAATTTCACCACACTCACTAAGCTCTGGGAAAAATACCATAACAAAATGAAACTTCTTTTGCAAAGTAAGCAACATATTTGTCTGTAGTAAATCAACCCCAACACCCCAACGTGTTAATCACACACAGTATAGTATATATATATATATATATTGTATATAATTATTTCAATAGTATTGCAGCATCTTGTATAAATGTATTCATTATCAGTGGCATACAGAACTTCAGCCACATATAACTAACATTCCTTTATACATACAACCATGATTGGAAATAAGCTACAGCTGATGCATATCTCACTTTAGAGGGTTATTCAATTATATCACTTTTTTCCATATACAGAGATACAATATTCCTAGTGTCACAAACCCATTCCTACAAACAAAAAAAACTTTAATGTATTACAGAAAAAGATGTAAGCCAGAATCTTTATTGAACCCCTTGGGGGCCAGAGCATCTAAGTGTGCAATACACACACACACACATATATATATTGGGATGCCTGCCTTTACATGCACATGAACATGAAGTTTGATTGCATCCAAGTCTGTAGGGTTCAATATGAAGTTGGCCTTTGCAGCTATAACAGATTCAACTCTTCTGGGAAGGTTGTCCACAAGATTCAGGAGGGTGTCTATGGGAATGTTTGACCATTCTTCCAGAAGCACATTTGTGAGGTCAGGCACTAATATTGGATGAGAAGGCCTGGCTCTCATTCTCCACTCCAATTCATCCCAAAGGTGTTCTATCGGGTTGAGGTCAGGACTCTGTGCAGGCCAGTCAAGTTCCTCCACCCCAAACTCTCTCATCCATGTCTTTATGGACCTTGGTTTGAGCACTGGTGTGCAGTCATGTTGGTATAGGAAGGGGCCATTCCCAAACTGTTCCCACAAAGTTGGGAGCATGAAATTGTACAAAATGTCTTGGTATGCTGATACCTTAAGATTTCCCTTCAGTGGAACTAAAGGGCCAAGCTCAACCCCTGAAAAACAATCCACACCATAATCCCCCCCTCCACCAAACTTTACATTGGCACAATGCAGTCAGGCAGGTACCATTCTCCTGGCAAGAACAAAACCCAGACACGTCCATCAGATTGCCAAACAGAGATGTGTGATTCATCACTCCAGAGAACACATCCCCACTGCTCTAGAGTCCACTGGTGGCATGCTTTTGCAGCACTGCATCCAACGCTTTGTATTGCACTCTATGCACTGTTGTGCTAATCTGAAGGCCACATAAAGTTTGAAGGTCTTTAACTATTGACTCTGCAGACAGTTGGCAACTTCTGCACACTGTGCATTCAGTATGCACTGATCCCACTTTGTCATTTTACATGGCCTACCACTTCGTGCATTGGGTTCTGTTCCCAATTGCTTCCACTTTGTTATAATACTACTAACAGCTGACCAAGGAATTTTTAGTAGTAAGAAAATTTCATGGATGGACTTATTGCACAGGTGGCAACCTATCACGGTACCACGCTTGAATTCACTGAGCTCCTAAGAGTGACCCATTCTTTTGCAAATGTTTGTACAAGCGGTCTGCATGCTTATACACCTGGCCATGGAGGTGATTGGAATACCTGAATCCAATGATTTGGAGGAGTGTCCCAATACTTTTGGCAATATAGTATATATACAGTACGTATTTTTCGCTGCATAAGACGCCCCCCAAAAAGTGGGGGAAATGTCAGTGCATCTTATGGAGCGAATATATAGCGGCCGGTCCAGTATTTCTGCCGCCACCATGTCAGAATATCAGGCCGGCCGCTCAGCTCTTCTCTCCTGCAGGGCCTTACCTGTTCCTCGCTACGGCGCTGTACAGTCTTCCCACGCTGGCTTTTGTGACAGCCGGGTGCCCACTGCGCATGCGTGAGAAGCGCTGTGCTTTGTGAATGGTCCTGTGTCTTCTGGGACACATGACAGGTCCAAGAAGGCGCTGGGCCATTCACAAAGTGCAGCGCTTCTCATGCATGCACAGTTGGCACCCGGCTGTCACAGAAGCCGGCGCGGGAAGAAGAGGGAAGGACAACTCCGCAAAAGTGGGAGCGGGTACCTGTCAAATTCAGGTACCCGCTCCCCCTCCCTCCCCAAAGGTCCGCAGTCTCTGGTCATCTCCTTTACTGTCCACAGTCTCTGGTCATCTGTACTATGTCCACAGTCTCTGGTCATTCCCTGTACTTTGTCCGCAGTCTTCTGGTCATCTCCTGTACTGTGTCCGTAGTCTCTGGTCATCTCCTGTACTGTGTCCGCAGTCTCTGTACTGTGTCTGCAGTCTCTGGTCATCTCCTGTACTGTGTCCGCAGTCTCTGGTCATCTCCTGTACTGTGTCCGCAGTCTCTGGTCATCTCCTGTACTGTGTCCGTAGTCTCTGGTCATCTCCTGTACTGTGTCCGCAGTCTCTGTACTGTGTATGCAGTCTCTGGTCATCTCCTGTACTGTGTCCGCAGTCTCTGGTCATCTCCTGTACTATGTCCGCAGTCTCTGGTCATCTCCTGTACTGTGTCCGCAGTCTCTGGTCATCTCCTGTACTGTGTCCGCAGTCTCTGGTCATCTCCTGTACTATGTCCGCAGTCTCTGGTCATCTCCTGTACTGTGTCCGCAGTCTCTGGTCTCTGGTCCGCAGTCTCTGGTCTCCTGTACTGTACTGTGTCCGCAGTCTCTGGACATCCCCTGTACTGTACTGTGTCCGCAGTCTCTGGTCATCCCCTGTACCGTGTCCGCAGTCTCTGGTCATCTCCTGTACTGTGTCTGCAGTCTCTGGTCATCTCCTGTACTGTGTCCGCAGTCTCTGGTCATCTCCTGTACTGTGTCCGCAGTCTCTGGTTATCTCCTGTACTGTACTGTGTCCGCAGTCTCTGGTCATCCCCTGTACTATGTCCGCAGTCTCTGGTCATCCCCTGTACTGTGTCTGCAGTCTCTGGTCATCTCCTGTACTGTGTCCGCAGTCTCTGGTCATTTCCTGTACTATGTCTGCAATCCATTGGTTCAGAATATTTTTTTTCTTGTTTTTCGCCTCTAAAACCTAGGTGCGTCTTATGGTCAGGTGCGTCTTATGGAGCGTGAAATACTATATATATATATATATATATATATATATATATATATATATATGAGACCCATCAAGGCATGGACACCACTAAACCTCTGAAAGTATGCTCTGGTTTTTTACATCAAGCCATCAATTACAGATGCTCGATGGATTGAGATTTGGAGTGTGTGTGTGTGTGTATATATATATATATATATATATATATATATATATATATATCAGGGGCAGACTGACCATTTGGAAACTCGGGCACTGCCCGAGGGCCTGGGATCAGTAGGGAGCCCCATGAGATGTCCCTGGTACCTTTTTCATAGGCTTTTTTTGAGTTTTGGCAAGGACACAGGGGCCCCATGATCCCCTATTGCCCGGGGGCCCCATGAGTTGTCAGTCCGCCCCTGATATATATATATATATATATCTGTATGTGTGTGTGTGTGTGTTTTAAGTTAAGGAACATCCTACAAAAGGTTCCTAATAGGCTCTAATTGTCATTCATCCACTCTGCCTCCATTAACTGAATGCTATTCATTGCTAGACAAAGAAGAGGGGGCAGGTTAGTGGTTCAACTTTTCTTAGTAGCAGCATCTGTAGTTAACCTTAGTAGCAGTTAGAAGCAGCCGCCAGCAAATTAAATGATGCACACCACTGCACATAATTAATGTGTTTTGCTTCTGATATATATATATATATATATATATATATATATATATATATATATATGCTTCACCAAATTATCAGTAGCAATATACTTTTGAAGCTTTGCATCTGACCAGCCGTAGGTTTGCCTATGGTGTGTTCAGTATCAGCAATTGATATATTCTTTCACTCACATAGTTTTAAAAGATAAGTTCACCTTTTGTTAAAAAAATAATAAATGCACATTTTTTTGCAGGTAAAATGAGGTGTGCATTATTATTTTTGACTGCAGGAGCCTGTAAAGGTTTGCACCAGTTATCAGCAGATTGTTGGTGTCATGCAGGTCTCCTGCAGATCTGTCAGAATATTTGCTTGCTCATATGGGATGTACGAGCAAGCAGATATACTGAAAGGAAGAATCAGTTAACTACCATGGTGCTCCACATTGCCGTGTTAGTTCATTGAGGACTACAAGCTGACAGCCACTAAGGCTGATGGGACTTGTAGTCTTTCATGCACAGAATGCTGTGACTGAGTGACATGACGGGCCGGGTGGAGCCCCACATGGCCATATTCTTTTACCCACTTGTTGCCCAGCCTATAGGAAAATGACGGCCGGGCAGGACTCTTGTCGATCCAGGAGCATATGACGTCCTTTCCGGATAGCGCCTTGAGCGTGCCCGCAGGGCTGCACTGTGGCAAGATCTGTCACTGGCTGTGTACCTCAGACACAGCTGAGGACAGATCTGTGTACTGGCCCCATTGCCAGTACCATGTGACCTGCTGTGACCAATTAAAGCTGTCAAAGTGGGAAGCAGGGGCTGGTCAGATTGTAACATGTTACATGTTACACCCTGAATTTGGGTGCAACATGTAACATGTTACAAAAGGTGAACTTATCCCTTAAATGATATGTGGGATTTTGGGGAGTTGTCTACCTAGGCTTCCTTGTGAATATAGCTCATATTTGGGCTTAGTCTGAAAACGGGTAAATAAATTGTAACCTTAGCTTGTAACCTATTAGCTCGCATGACTAAAGTGATCAGTTGGTTCTTTATAGACATTGCTTGTTTTATTTATTTTTTGTTTGTTTGTTGAGTTGTTTGTTTAGTTTAATATAATAAATCAAAATGATTAAAAAAATGCCATCGTTAGTGCTTAAAAGCACAATTCAGCACTATAGAGAGCTCCAGCTGGCAAACATAATTGCCATCATAAAAACTGCTAAGACAGCTCATGGTGCAAATGGCATTTAATGGCTGTTCACCTTCACTTGGTATGCATTCACAATTTTATAGATAGAGTGAATGTGGGAATGAGATGCAAGGCAAAAGTGGCCAAATGGCAGAAGGTGTATTGTTGTAAATGATTCAGTGATGAAGTTAGCAGTGAAATCTTTATAAATAGAGCCCTTAAAAGCATATACTACAAAGATAGTATCCTATGTGGCAAATTTGTGAAAATGATTGGAGGTACCTTTTAAAGTTATTCAGATGAAAAAAGACATGTGACTTACAACCTATGAACCAGTCAAATACTGTAGATAAAATTAAAATAGAATTCACACTTCACATTAATTAATAAGGCACAAAAACTCCCTTTTTTTTTTTAAAATAAAATGCTCTTCTCCAGTTGCCAATCTAGACACAGAGTCATGCTAGATTGCATGGTCTAGTGCTAACAAATATAGCTGAAATTCAATTTCCCAATATTAATGGATAAGGAAGGATCAAAAGGGCCACACTCAAGTACTCAAATAAACTCAAATTAATATATAGACAAAATACATTAATACACACTGACAAGGTTGTCTACATTAAAGTAATCTTCTTCCACAAGTATAGCTAAAAATAAAAAGACAACAGCTCCCCTTAATAACTTTGCACACTCTTTGAACAAGGTGTTAAAAGATGATTAAGATACCATCTGTCATATTTAGATATAATGCTAGATTTGTGTAACTATTTTTGTAAAACCGCCACATCCTTGCGCAAATTGAATCTCAATGCTTACACCCACATGCTACAAACTTCATCTGCATTTCATCAAGATGTTCCGCAACAAATATGAAAAAATGTGACCAAAGTAATGGATTGTCCAAATAATGTGGATGAAAACTGTTTACATAATAATAATGAAAAAAAAAAAAAAAGTTTGTTCAAAGAACAAATAACTGTTGCTTGAATCAAAGAAAAACAATCCAAAGATTTCACAATGCATTGAAATGTATTCTGAATCATGTGAGTTATTAAGTTATAGGAGAAATGAAATTAAGCAAAGTTAGTCAAGGACTTTAGTTTACGGCTTTTACCGCCTCCTGTCCACCATATAAGGAAATGATGGACGGGTGGCAGTTCTATCGTTCTGGGAGGACTTCATATGATGTCCTCACTCTCTAACCGCGTGTGCGTGCTCCCGAGGGCGTGCAGCGTGGCAATCGGTGGTGCGCTGTGATGACTTTGGCTCTGTTATGTGATCAGCTGTGTCCAATCACAGCTGATCATATGTAAATAAAGAAATTCCAGTTATCAGCATTTCTCTCCTCACGAGTTATATCACGCTGGCAGCTCGTGAGGAGAGGAGAGCCGAGCCAGTAATCGGCATTTCTCAAAGGGGACATCTACACTGATCATCAGGGCACTGATGATCAGTGTAGCCCCATCAGTGCCACCTGTCAGTGTCCATCAATGCCACCTGTCAGTGCCCATCAACGCCACCTGTCAGTGCCATCAGTGTACATCAATGCCACATATCAGTGCCTACCAGTGCACATCAATGCCACATATCAGTGCCCATCTGAGCTGCCTTTCAGTGCCACCTATCAGTGCCAGTCAATGCCACCTATCAGTTCCAGTCATTGCCTCCTATGAGTGTTGTCAGTCAGTGCCACCTATCAGTGCCAGTCAATGCCACCTATCAGTGCCAGTCAGTGCCGCCTATCAGTGCCCATCAGTGCCACCTAACAGTGCCAGTTGGTGCCGCCTATCAGTGCCAACCAGTGCTGCCTATCAGTGCTGCCTATCAGTGCCATATATGAGTACTGTCTTTCAGCGCTCATCAGTGATGTGTGTCAATGCCCACCAGTGATGCCTGTCAATGCACATCAGTGCCACCTACCAGTGCCCATCAGTGCAGCCTATCAGTGCCCATCACTGCAGCCTCATTAGCACACATCAGTGAAGGAGAAAGATTACAAGATTACAACTCATTTACAAAATTTTATAACAAACTAAGAGAAAAACTTTTTTTTCAACATTTTCAGTTGTTTTTGGTTTGTTTATCAAAAAATAAAAAACCCAGGGGTGATTAAATACCACCAAAAGAAAGCTCTATCTGTCTAAAAAAATGATAAAAATTTCATATGGGCACAGTGTTGCATGACAGCACAATTGTCATTCAAAGTTCGACTGCGCTGAAAGCTGAAAATTGGCCTGTGCAGGAAGGGGGTGAAAGTGCCCGGTAGACAAGTGGTTTATAAGTACAAGCAAAACAAAAAAAAAGCAATTACCTGTCAGCAATAGCTAATGTATGTGATTGCAAATACTTTAGTTTAATTTAATGACAGTAAATTCAAGATATTGGAAGTCTGATTCACTGTTCCCTTCCATTAGCTGTATTCTAGCAAGTGCTCAGTAAAAAAAAACTTTAAAGGTTTGCAGCTGCAACACATCTGAACATTTGATCTTTGATCTTAAAAGAGGAAACTGCAGACTGATGTGGGGAGCCTATACGGTTTGATAGGTAGCCATACTGGGATTTTGTAACCCTTTCACTGTCACCACCTCTATGGCAGTATAGAGAAAGGATGAAAAAAACTGTAGTTACTATACTGTAGAGACAATAGGTCACCAGGATCATTTTTAAGCCTGGGACTACTGGAAGCATGATCAGGAAAGAGAGCAGTTTTTAGGAGGTTGGGAATGTCCATTCCCAGCACTTCAATGTCTGATCTGGCAAACCTTTGGCACAGATGTCAGGTGCAGAAACAGATTGGGGTTCTATGTCTTGATCTGCTTCAGATAGTGTCAAAGGAGATATCAACGGTCTAAAGAAGGGATGTGATGGTCACCACTATCACACAGGGGCTTAAAAGTCTCTCTGTGATAGTAGCAAATAGAACAAAGTAAAACTGTAATAAAAAGAGTAAAAGATGGGGCGCATGCGCGGCAGTCTAAGATGGCGGATGCGTGAAGACTGAGCTCCGCTGACCCTCAACCTTCATGGCCCTCCTGCTCCACTACTACAGCATCCACAGCTCCGGGAGAGCCCTCTCCCAGGTTGAGACATACCCAGGCATTCCCATGGGAAAATTCGGGCGCTGGAAGCCGCCCACGCCGCCTCCTCCGGATCCCCGACCTTCAGTGCTGGAATGCTTCTTCAATAGGCCTCGAGTAGTGGCTGTGGCCCCAATGAGTGCTCTGGATGATCCAGTAAAATGGAGGGGATGGACACAGATCCCCCTGCGGCTCTACATCCCTCACTGGTGATCCCTTCTCTGACGGTGGATACCTTAAAAGACAAACTGCAAGTATTCCTACATAACATTACCAGCACTCTTTCTGCTGAAATTGGGAGACTGGCTCAGGAGCTTAGGGGGGAGATTACTCAGATAGGAGGCTGCACCTTGAGTCCAAATTTGACGAACTGGTACAATATGTCCATGTTCTAGAGGAGGATATTGCAAGCCTGAAACACTCCATGTCTCAGGTACAACTCCAACAGGAAGATCTTGAAAACAAGGAGCGTCGACAGAATATTCATGCTCGTGGAATATCCAAAATAGTCTCTGATTCCCAACTTCAACGTCACTTGCTGTCTCTATTCACCTCTCTGGCCCCTGGGTCCCAGATGTTGATTGGCGAATGGACCGGGCCCATAGGTTGTTAGGCCTGAAACCTTTTTGAGGGCACTACTTTGACAGCAAAGAAGCCTTGCTCACTTCTACCAGCAACAAGCCCTCTTTGGAATTTAAAGGAGACAGGTTCCAAATTTTCAGTGATTTATCCACCATCACCTGGGCACAAAGATGGGTCAAGCCTGTCACCACCAGTGGGGATTTCCCTTCAAGCTAGTTGTCTCCAAAGATAATGCCCAAGTCATACTCCGTGACCTACATGAAGCGGACCCCTTCTTTAAACAGCTGGGACTTCCTCTCTAGTCAGATGAGGCCCTTCCGCTATCTCCTACCCCATCCAGGCCCTTTGCCACCCTATGCAAGATCTGGACACCTGCTAAACCTGGAAGGAAGCAATTTCCTCATACTCCTCAACGTCCACGACTTCCTGGATCTGTGGGCCCTGCCACCTGACTCCTTCACATGTCATATTTCCTGCCCTGTTAATTGGGCTTGTTTGTTCCCATGTGTGCCTTAGCATTTTTTCCACAATGCTATGTCCAGACTACAACCGCTATGTGTATTACTGAGATAGGCATCTGCCAAATTTAGTCAGCTGCCATGTTGCCCCCTGGAGCATCAGGCCTTTGGCCCTGACGACTCGGGATATTCTCAATATCCCGGGTGCATATCTTTAAAGATATCTTTGTTTCCAGCCATAATCCCTACGGCCTCTGATTTGAGTGACACATTTGTATGTAATAGGCCTGTTGCCTTGATAATCACCTGTTTTTTTTTTATCTCTGTTGCTTTCTGTTTTGCCTCATCGATGATAATGTTCCTGTATACTCAGGTTACACAGCTGATATACCCATTGCTGTTTCATGTTGGCTTTAAAGCTGTTATCATATAATGTCAAAGGTCTTCACTCAATTCAAAAATGGTTGATGGCTCTGAAGGAGTTCAGATCCATGGGGGACAGACATATTTATTCAGGAAACTCATTTCAAACACGATGGTTCTTTTCGCGTTGCCTCTAAGAACTTTCCACAATCCTACTCAGCTTTTGACCCCTCTGGAAAAGCCGGAGTGGCTGTTTTGATTAAAAAAACTGATCCCTGCGGGTCTCCTCCTCCCGGGTTGACCCACTTGGTCGTTATGTTTTACTGGAATGTATGTACGAGGGTTCCTCTTTTGTACTTTTGAACTTGTATGCACCTAACTCTTGTCAGCTGCTATTTCTCTCTCAAACTTTAGATAAATTATGTTCCTATCTACTCCATGCATGATTGTTGGGGGGGATTTTAACTTGGTTATGTCTCCTCATAAGGATAAGAAGGTCCTCTTTGTATCTACTCCATAAAAAGGCTATGCTCCTCCTCGACAGCCTTCCATAAACTGATCCAGGAGCATCGCCTGTTTGACGCTTGGTGGGTCAAACACCCTCTCCATAGGCATTTCACATTTAACTCTACTCCACATCATGTATTTTCTCGATTGGATCACTTTTTTGTCATCACCCCCTGCTCCCCTTTTTGGTCTTCTCTGAGATCAACCCGATAACTTGGTCAGATCATGCCTCACTGTCGCTTAATCTTCTTCTTCCCATCTCCTCCCCTAGGGTCTGTCACTGGCACCTCAATGAGAGTTTCCTGTGCTCGGACCACCTTCAGGAGGAACTCTCTCGGGGCCTGGATGCTTATTTTCAATACAACGTTGGCTCGGTAGCTTCATCTTCAACCCTCTGGGAGGCCTACAAAGCTGTCTTCAGAGGCCTTTATATTTCCATGGGAACTCATTTAAAGAAGGTCTCTGTTTGTACCAGACAATCTCTTTTATGCCAACTATCCTTAGCCAAAATACGACTAATAGACAACCAGTCTATACCTCGGCTTCAGAAAGTTACCCGTATACGTGACCAAATTAGGGCCCTTGACCTGCACAAAACTGCCCAGTCCCTTGCTTGGGCTAGACAAAAATTCTATGAGTTCTCTAACAAAACACATCTCAAACACTCCCCTCACTGTTAGGTCACCTACTCCACTCAGATGGCAAATCCAAATATGACCCACATGTCATGGCTACTGTATTTGGGCAATAGCCCCTGATACCCACCCTCCCCTTCAGATGGCTGCCTTTGACGGGTTTTTTTACTCCTTACGACTACCTAGTTTGTCACCTTCCAATGTAACAGCTCTAAACGTGGATATCTCTACTGAAGAATTATTGGATGTTGTCAAACATCTCCCTACACACAAATCTCCGGGACTAGATGGACATCCTTACTCTTAGTACAAGACCTTTATTGGCATCTTGGCCCCCCACCTTCTGTCATTGTTTCGGGATCTCCTGAAGGGGACGCATCTTCACAATGATTTTACCCACACATACATTTTGTGATCCCCAAGACGGATAAGGACCACTCCCTTCCATATAATTATCACACTATAGCCTTATTAAACTCTAATTACAAGATAGTTATGAAAATACTAGTTAACAGATTGGCCAAGTGTATTTCCAAGCTTATACACAGAGATCAGGTGGGTTTTGTACCGGCTAGACATGCTGTGGATAACACTAGGAGGACCATTGACTTGATAGATCTTGTTAATAAGTCCTTGACTCCTGCTCTCTTGTTGAGCTTGGATGCCCAAAAAGTGTTTGACCGACTTAGCTGGCCATATATGTTTCTAGTTCTGGAGAGATTTGATTTTAGTGGTCCGTTTATAGCAGCTTTAAATTCTCTTTACTCCAAATTGGTGTTGTTTTTATCACCTTCCTTCTGGATGTCCAATGGTAGGTGTTAGGGTTGTCTGTTTTCCCCTTTGTTGTTTATTCTCTGTTAAAAACCCCTGGCCATAGCCATTAGATCCAATCAGGATATCCATGGGATAAGCACCCATAACAGTGAATTTAAACTGTCCCTGTTCGCTGATGATATCTTGCTGCCGCTGATGGAGCACACACACTACTTTACCTGTTTTGCATTGTACTTTACAGCTCTTCGATGCCCTGTTGGGATATAAGGTTAACGCGACTAAAACTGAAGCATTACCACTCCATATACCATATACAATTTTATCTTCCCTTCAGTTAAATTATCCATACCAGTGGTACCCCCATGCCCAGGGGCGGACTGACCATTTGGAAACTCGGGCACTGCCCGAGGGCACGGGGTCAGTAAGGGGACCCATGAGATGCCCCTGGTACCTTTTTTCATAGGCTTTTTTGAGTTTGGGCAAGGATACAGGGGCCCCATGTCCACCCCTGCCCACACCTTGAAATATTTAGGTACCAATCTTACTTCCTCATACCACTCCTTTTATGCAGCTAATTTCTC